CAGTCATTATCATTACCAATATCTGATATTGGTCAGCCAGTGTGCATCTGATCCGGTCGCTCTAGGCATGGCCAGTCATTATCATTACCAATATCTGATATTGGTCAGCCAGTGTGCATCTGATCCGGTCGCTCTAGGCATGGCCAGTCATTATCATTACCAATATCTGATATTGGTCAGCCAGTGTGCATCTGATCCGGTCGCTCTAGGCATGGCCAGTCATTATCATTACCAATATCTGATATTGGCCAGCCAGTGTGCATCTGATCCGGTCGCTCTAGGCATGACCAGTCCTTATCATTACCAATATCTGATATTGGTCAGCCAGTGTGCATCTGATCCGGTCACTCTAGGCATGGCCAGTCATTATCATTTGGTGCATACATGTGCGGGCTTTGCCTCTTTTTGAAATCGTCTTAGCTTCCACTGCTTGGCTCGGCCTGCTCTATTTGACTGGAATAAACAAAAATAGGCAAAAGCACTGCGACGTCACACACTAACCAATGGCTTCAGAAAATCAGGTCCTCTTTTATTGGTCTTGATTCCCATACAGTATCTCTCAAGGTCAGTATCATGTAGCGTGTCATGAGTGCGGCTCTGTCCTGTTCCAGGTGCCTGGTGTCCGAGGGCTGGCGTTCATAGTCGGGGTGGCTGCTACCCTGTTCATGGCGGGCAGCACCATCATGTACGCCTGCTGAGGCCTTAGGCGGCGTCACCTGCGCCCCTCCCCTCTCCCGTCACCAGCGGCCGCACAGGTCGTGACCTCTGCCCTGATCGCGGTTCATTCGATCTCTGCGCGACTGGGTAGATCCTTCGACGAGGGTGTCCTGTGTACTGCAGGACGGCATGGGCAGCAGTGCGACCGCAGAAATGTATGACAGGTGTTTCCCGCGGGGTTGCTGTTCTTCAGCCTGTGAACGACGTGGATGTGGTGGTACTCTGTACTAAAGAGTGACTTTAGTTTCGGCATGCATGAGGTCCGCGTTAAGTGGACTTGACTCGTTGCCCCCTGAGAGCGGCCGACTTGAGCACCCCGCATGTAATACATGTTCTGGGTTAGCTGGTTTTCTTTAACAGGTGTTACCGCTGCTGATGAAAATGGAAGTTTGTTTTATACGAAACACGGCATGCCGGGCATCCAAGCACCGTAAACTAGCGTACACCTCATTCTCTCTCGTAGGGGCACAATTCTAAATTATCTGTGTTGATGCAGATTAACCGCAGTGACTGCTGCTGCCGTCCGTTGGTTATATCTGCTACAGCTTATGGAAAAAGTTGATTAATTGTCGCTCTCATGAGCTTATTTGCGGAAGCTTTTACTCCATGAAAACACTATGAACTAGCGGCAGAAAATCTAAATGTGATATTCACCATCATTGATTTAACGTCCTGTCGGACAACATACAGTGGGAGAACATCCATGGTATGTTGCATGCGAATCAAATACATTGAGTGTGCGTGGTCACCTCACTTATCCATACATAAAACGCGCAACTAGTGCTCTGGCCTCTGGATCGTTTCTCGTCACGAGCTGTCTGAGTGGCTCAATCACACCACACTGAAGAAAGGAGGCAGCTGTTCATCCTTCGCAGGCGGAGTTGGCTAGCCACCCCAATCTTGCTTGCACCGCAAAAACGCGGATCCAGCAAAATTACCGGCAAGCTCAGCCGGGCGGAAGACCAGCACGGCTAGAGCCCTCAGAAGAGCTTGGTGCAAGCGATGTGGTGAGTGAACCAGGCTGCTGAACATCTTTAGGACAGCAGGTCTTACCTCGTCCTGTATTGGCGGGACACGCAGGGGGCCCTGAGAAGAGCTGTGTTGTTCGCTCACCGCTACAGTCCGACAGCTGCTTAAACATGCGCTCAGGTCAAGCTGATTTCCGATGGTTTCTCCGGGAATACTTTCATGGGAGCTGCACCCACCGCACAGCTGCCAGGAGACGCCCTGCGGCGTCCGCTGCACAGCTGTCAAGAACGCCCGGCGGCACCCGCTGCACAGCTGTCAGGGGGACACCCGGCTGCATCCACCGCACAGCTGCCAGGAGACGCCCTGCGGCACCCGCTGCGCAGCTGTCGGGGGACACCCGGCTGCACCCACCGCACAGCTGTCAGGATACGCCCTGCGGCACCCACCGCACAGCTGTCAGGATACGCCCTGCGGCACCCACCGCACAGCTGTCAGGATACGCCCTGCGGCACCCGCTGCGCAGCTGTCGGGGGACACGCGGCAGCACCCGCCGCACAGCTGTCAGGGGACGCCCGGCGGCACCAACGGCACAGCTGTCAGGAGACGCCCTGCGGCACCCGCTGTACAGCTGTCAGGGAACACCTGGCAGCACCCGCTGCGCAGCTGTCAGGCGACACCCGGTGGCACCCTCAGGGGGCGCCCGATGTCGATACGTTTAGTTTTGCACAAAAGGTGCAGCCTAGACTGTCGAAGAACTATCAGCCGAAAATTCGAATCTACCATCGGCCGACATGAGCTGTGTGGACCAAATCACGCCTCGTCAGCGCAGAGCTGACTGTGGCAGACCTGCATGAATAGTGATGGATATAATACGTCGGCTCGGGAAACAACTTAAACGCAATGGAATATTCCAGCTGTGTGCGTTAGATAGCACAGGTATAGGGCTATTAGCTGCCAGCAGAACACGCCTGCATAGGCGTAGGAACGTTTCAAAAAGTGGGGGACCAAGCTCAGGGCGTACTTCAGCAACTTTTTCTGGAAAGCGAGCCCGATGACCGGCGGGGGGAGGGATGGAGGTTGTTATCGCTCTTTATTCAAACGTCATGGCTGCTATGCTAGATATGCATCTAAAGCGGTTTATCACTGGTGCACAATCTTGCCTATTCGACCCATCTGTCATTTGGCAAATAAGACTACCCAGCTTCCCTAGATTATTCGTCCATTTTAACATTGTCTTTCCTGGGGAGGCGAAATTCCACGAGCGGGTAGGCATTTTGAGTAATTAAGGAAGCATCTGTCTCCACAGCGTAGATGCCCAAATACGGTCTGGATATAGGCTGGTGAGGATTTTGAAAGCGGCTCACAGTGCGACAGATCTTTCATGCCTCACCATTTTCCCGGCTGCTTTTCAAGAGACCAGACTTGTGGCATTTTAGGCGGAAACAAATTCGGGAGCTTGAAATTGCTAGAAACAATGTGACGAAAGCCATCAAACTGGAGATTCTCTTTGAAGAATCAAGCCACATGATAGCGCCCATCTGTCATATATTCCTTATCTAGGCACTGCTCCTGTCCGCCGTCGGTGGTCACTGCCCTGGCCCGGATGTCCCCCTCATGAATGACTGCGAACTGATCGTATGGCTGCTTTGTTGCATACTGTGCCTGTTGCTGCAATTGCAACTGCAACGTTTGTTGCAACTGCTTTTGTACCAACGTTACTACTGCATGGTGTATGAAATACGTGTTGGGCATCTGCAACAGTATCTTTTTCCGAACTATCTTACCTCACACCACATCACCGCAGCAAAATAGCCTCCGGGGAGCTGTATGCCCTAGGAATGAATTGACCCAACGGACACTTCATTGCCCATCATGCAACGTATACGACTTGATCTGCTTTTGTGTGTAGGCGGGGGCGTAGCCAGAGCCTTGTCAAGTGGTAACAAAAGGTTGACAAAAGCCCATCTTATCGCGATCCCCCCCCAAAAAATTCCCGTGAACTAAAGAATGAATATTATAAAAAGTTAATCACCTTTTCGTCCGGCTCGGACCTCGGCGATTATGACGAAAATCATGTCTGCTGATGCAACATTTAAGTCCTAAAAAAACAAGCAGACGAGAACCGATGTCCTGTTGCACGACGAACGCGAGCGTTTGGATTGTTCTGGGAACGTTTCTAGTCAAGATTTTTGAAGGCCCGCCGGAAATTTTTATTCCGAGCCCGTGAAGGCCTCGGGGCAGTCAGGTTAGCAATGCTCATGTGGTGTCACCATGGTGATGTGTGGCGATGTGTGGTGGTGCGGTGATGTGGTGATGTGGCGATATTGCGGTGGCACTTTCGCAATCATAGTTGCCATCTGAGCACCAGTGAACCGGTGCTCCGACCTCCGATGCCTCCGACGCGACCGTAGACACATCGGCCGGTCGCCAGTGAACCTGTCAGTGTCTCCGACGCGACCGTAGACACATCGGCCGGTCGCCAGTGAACCGGTCAGTGTCTCCGACGCGACCGCAGACACACGGGACGCCGACCACAGACACGGGGCGCTCCTATCTCTGCGCAGCCGCGGTCCGCGGTCACGGACAAACCACGAGCGCCCCGTCGCTCGCGGGCAGTCACAAACCAGCAACGCTACAGTTCTACATCGTGTTTATTATCGGGTGAAAATCGGAAGGGCTCCGGACACGTGCTTGTTGTGGCGATGCGGTGCGTTCAAAGGTCAGAACATTGGGAGGTCACTCGCAGGACGTTCACAGGTCGCTCGCGGGACGTTCAGAGGTCACTGGCAGAACGTTCAGAAGTCAGACGAGAAAGCCAGAGAACAGGCGGGCACCAGCGGTCGCCAGGCACGCGGCGCAGGTGCCGGTGCAGTCGCTGGAGCGACTTCGATTGCAGAAGAGCGAGCTGTATATATCATAGAGCTAGACGACCCAGCACGGGGTGAGAGGCGAGGGATCTCTCCGCGGACAGTGGCGAGCCAAACGAAACGAGCATCCGTATTCTTATACCACGCACGCGGAAGAGGGGCAAAGCAGCAACGGCACTCAAGACAAAGCGCTGAGCACGGACTACGGCATGATCGGGGTCCACCCAGACGAGTTAAGCAACACTCAGTCGAGTTGTAGTCACGAGTTAAACAACACTCAGTCGAGCTGTACTCACGAGTTACATCCGACCACAAACACAGCGATGCCGAGTGATCACCTGCGCTATCAACGACTCAACACGGGACAACAAAACGCCAGGGGGATCGTGTGTTGCGGTGTGCTGACGCCCGTTCAAACGGCACACATCTCCGGAGGGTCTCACAGGCCTTTCCGCGGCGAGAATCCGGCGTCGGCTGCGTGCTTCTAACGGTGGTCTATGACACGCCGGAACTTTGGCGACAGCAAAGTTGTCGCCTTTGCTGGGAGAGTCCAGCCACGAGCTTTCTGAGTGTGCCGGCATTCCCCAGTATTGCACTCGTTAGTATTCGTCGGGACGGCCGCCTCGGTGGCCGCCGGGCGGCAGTAGAGCCCTGCTTCCCCGCCCGGCCGCTCCGGTGGCCGCCGGGCGGCAGTAGAGCCTTGCTTCCCTGCCCGGCCGCTCCGGTGGCTGCCGGACGGCGGTGGAGCCTTGCTTCCCCGCCCGGCCGCTCCGGAGGCCGCCGGGCGGCGGTGGAGCCTTGCTTCCGCCGGCGGCCACCGTCGATCTAACGGAACTGCTCGCCACATGACGGGTTGAGCTACTCCTGCCATTCGTCCGACCCAGTTATCATGCACGCCACAATACATGCCAGTAATGCAGGGTCGCTCCGACGCAACGGATGACAAATACAAGGCAGCTCAAAAGATAACAAGGGCCATAGCTGGCGGGTGGCGGCGCCTGGGACAATCGGCGTTTGGTCCTGCGGTGTTGGCGCTGGGAACCAGCATTTAAGTCAGCGTCGACGCCTACAGCTATGACCGCAACAAACCTCACTTAGACACTTCAGACATCGCCAGGAATGAGATCAGCTAAAGCATACGCGTATCTGAGGATCTAGCATAAGCTAGGCGATTAAACCCAGCCCTAAATCCTGCCCACTGTACTTGGTCGGCACGCTGATACTTAGCCTCTATGAGTATCGCGACTTATGTAACCCTTGTCATGTTTGTGTTGGTCTAGCCTTGCCCACGACGCTCCCCACGTCTGACGACTTTCAACCGAGCTCTTCCTCAAATCCCCACGGGCGCGCTAACTTGTGTGACCTTTGAACGGCGAGAACCTGAGGCTCTCCGCTGAGGCAGTTTGAGACGGAATGCCCAGCGATGCGCGCGAGTGCCCAGCTGCGCCTCAAAGGCAGAATGCCCAGCGATGCGCGCGAGTGCCCAGCTGCGCCTCAAAGGCGGAATGCCCAGCGATGCGCACTGCTCACTCAGCGGCCCCGCCGGCAGCGAGCTGGCCGAGCGTCGAGCGGACACCAGCCGTGTGGGGCCCACCACATGGTCCCGGCAGTTGGAAGCCAGCTAGCCAGGGTCGGCAGTGCTAGGCGTGCGGGGGGACGGACGTGTGATCTAAACTCAGCGGAATCCGGTATCGCCCTCGCCGGCGTTGCATGCCAAACGGCACGTCCCAACTCCTCGATGTGCCTTCTCTCTTAAGCTTTTGACCCGCGTTGAAATCCAACAACACGTACCACACACCCTGGCCGGCGCTGACAAACCCGGGGAGTGCGTGACACTGTTATCGCGGCGCAGACCAGGCTGAGAAACCGAACATGGCGGCCGCGGCGGGGGTGGGGGCACTTCGAAGCAAGAAAAGACTTAAACAATGCGTGCGAGGGGCTCGGGATCACATTCTCGCCGAGTTTGGCTGCAGCTCACAGAACCGTCACCTCTCCAGAATCTCCACGGAACTCTTCATCCAAGCAGGCGCTCGTGCATTGGTTCGATGCCAGGTCGCTCCAGGCAGTGTGTTTCTGCGGCACTGACTTGCCATCAAGCCGCTGCCCTACACTCTCTGAGTGTCCCTACAAGGTACCATCGGCTTCGCTCCCCCACGCAGCACACCACAATTGTCTATTGGGTATAGGCAGCGCCGTTGTATTACGCTCGGAGATAGTGCAGCCAGCTGGCGCCGGCGCTGAGCAGCAGCAGCAGTGACATCTTGTGGTCGCTGGCTGAGTTGCAGAGATCTTCGTAGCAGGAGCAGTAGTAGACCGCCACCTGCCGGGACGAGGGAAGGGTTCTATGCTGTGCGGCTGCGCCTGGGGAGGTTCCGGAGATACGCCCAAGGGACGTAGATCCCAAGAGTGGGTCTTAGCTTCCTCGGCAAATGGGGGAGAGGAACCTGCCGGGTTGCTAGAGAAATTGGCATCCTTGGATTAGAGAGAACCAGACTGAAATCAGTCACATTACATCGGAGCCGAGAGGCACATGATATCACCATCAGCTCACGTCCAAATTTCGTTCGCTCTCCAAAATGCCGCGTGCCACTCTGCCTATTTGTGCCAGCAGAACGTGTGAACTGAAACCACTGGGCATTTTGATGTTTAAGGCTTAGTAAAAAGTGTGTTCCAAAGGGAACTTGCCCATCTTCAACCAGTATCAAACGACTGTTTATTTGCTTTTTTCTTGGTTCTTAACGACATGACCTAAAACAATTCCGTTAGAACGCACCAACATTACTTACTAGCGATGCAAACCGCGTCAAAGCACAAAGACCTTATCACAGAACAAATGCAGAAATGCTGATGAAGTGAAAATATGAAGTGAATTTTCGGAGTATGCTACAGCTTTCCATCATCCCACGAATTTACCTTTGAACTAGCTCTCTGGAGGTCCTTTCAGCTGTTCAAGAATGTCATGAATGAGGACTTGGACTAATTAAGACCGGTCGTTCAATATGGCATAGACAGTTGCTACTTGCTAGTGTCATGTAAATATAAAATGCATTTTCTCTACATGTGTTTGTTCTTGTCAATAAGACATGCCAATGTCGAGATTCGATGTCACTTAGCGAAACCACAGCGAGCTACACTTGAACTGCAGTCGACCAGTGGCAGGTGGTGGTCCTGTCACAAGGCTTCAATTTGATCCGCAGGCAGCCTTCTAGCGGCGCCACTGGCAACGCTGATCCCTGGTCCATCCACCAGCCGGCGCTGCCAGCGCTAACCCACCTGGTACGTGCCGGCCTTCTTCATGCAGTCCCTGCCAGCCATGACCTCCCGATCGTCAACCCAGCCACAGGAGCGTACGATCCGGTGGTGATTGCCCACTGAAACGGTCATCCGATGGTCAACCCAGCCACAGGAGCGTACGATCCGGTGGTGACTGTCCACTGAAACGGTCAGGTCAGGTCAGGTCGCCAGTCCCGAACTGTGTCGTCGGGTCATATCAGGTCAGTTGAATCAGGTTGGTATTGTGCCCAGCTTGGCAAGACGTCAAATCGCCGCGGATATAGAGGAAGCACAAGATGGCTCGGCACTTCAGGTCAGCAGGGGTTGTTCGACGGCCGCATCGCTCTGACGACACCCGGCGGCGGGGGACGTTAGAGAGCGGGTCGGGGTCGCCCCGACGACACCTGGCAGCGGGGGACGTTAGAGAGCGGGTCAGGGTCGCCCCGACGACACCTGGTAGCGGGGGACGTTAGAGAGCGGGTCAAGGTCGCCCTGACAACACCTGGCAGCGGGGGACGTTAGAGAGCGGGTCAAGGTCGTCCTGATGGCACCTAGCAGCGGGGGACGTTAGAGAGCGGGTCAAGGTCGTCCTGACGACACCCGGCAGCGGGGGACGTTAGAGAGCGGGTCAAGGTCGTCCTGATGGCACCTAGCAGCGGGGGACGTTAGAGAGCGGGTCAAGGTCGTCCTGACGACACCCGGCAGCGGGGGACGTTAGAGAGCGGATCAAGGTCGTTCTGACGACACCTGGCAGCGGGGGACGTTAGAGGGGGGATCAAGGTCGTTCTGACGACACCTGGCAGCGGGGGACGTTAGAGGGCGGGTCGAGGTCGCTCTGATGATACCCGGCAGCGGGGGACGTCAGAGGGCGGGTCGAGGTCGTCCTGACGACACGCGGCAGCGGGGGACGTTAGAGAGCGGGTCGAGGCAGTCCCAAGTGTTAAACTAGGAAAGACAGTTGGACAAAGTGAAGCGGTCGTCGCTGGGTTCCTCCTTTTCCTCGGATCACGTCTGTTGGACAGCCGCTGTGCCGTCGTCCTCATCAGGACTGTTGGAGCACAGGTTTCTGGTGAGCTACGAGATGTTGATGGTCACGGGTTAAAGGTTAAGGGTCCATGGGACGCATGCAGAGCCCGGGGTTTCACCAGACCAAAGGACAAATCGCCAATGGGCTCAGGCGAAGACTGTGACGTCACAAATGCAGGTCAACCGACGTCAACACCAGGTGGATTGGCGCCAAAGCAGCCACGGCCATATCAGATGACGTCACAGATGCAGGTCAGCCGACGTCAGTACGAGCACGATCGTGGTCAAAGCAGCCATAGCCATATGAGATGACGTCATACATACAGGTCAACCGACGTCAACACCAGGTGGAGTGGGGTCAAAGCAGGCACGGTCAGATCAGATGACGTCACAAATGCAGGTCAGCCAACGTCAGTACCAGGTCGAGCGGGGTCAAAGGTCAGATCAGACGACGTCAAGAATGCAGGTCAGCCGACGTCATTACCAGGTCGAGCGGGGTCAAATTAGGCACGGTCAGATCAGACGACGTTGGGTTGTAGAGGAACAATGTTGATCTCTTTACGGCACTCAACACAGTTGTCACGAATAACAAACTGTCGCACTCTGACTTGATCCTGGGCGGCATATCACGGCAGTCGGGGAAAACGGATCTGGAAGGACACTTCCGTTTGCCTGTCTTTCAACGAGAAAATGACAAAAGAGGGACCTCTGTAACTCGGAGCCAGTCATTTTGTGTTCTCACCTAACCGATTTTCCTGACTTGTAACAATCTCCACGTAAACACAATAAATGGCCTCCGCTAACTCATAGAAACTTCTGGCACGTGAGTAGTCCCGACGTGGCCTACGACTGACCTTTGTATGACCTGCCACTCACCTCTTCGCGGCCTGCCACTGACCTCTGTGTGACCTACTACCGACCTATGCGTGGGCTACGAATAACCTCTGTGTGGCCTACGGCTGACCTCTGTGTGACCTGTGACTGACCATGGTGGACAATCTTGCGGCAGATGGTGCTGTTCAGACCGTCGAGGTGCGCGCCTGTGATTTTGTCTTCGCAGTCGACCGAGCCCACTTCCTTCCGCTTAAACGGATCTGCGCACCAGCGGTCGTACCAAGAGTTACACTCGAAACACCGGATCGCCAGGCCTGAGGACACAATACCGAGAGTTACACTCGAAACACCTGATCACCAGACCTAAAGCACCATACCGAAAGTTACACTCGAAACACCGGATCGCCAGACCTGAGGACACAACACCGAGAGTTACACTCGAAACACCGAATCACCAGACCTGAGGACACAATACCGAGAGTTACACTCGAAAACACCGGATCGCCAGACCTGAGGACACAATACCGAGAGTTACACTCGAAGCACCTGATCACCAGACCTGAAGACACAATACCGAGAGTTACACTCGAAACACCTGATCACCAGACCTGAAGCACCATACCGAAAGTTACACTCGAAACACCGGATCGCCAGACCTGAGGACACAGTACCGAGAGTTACACTCGAAACACCGGATCTCCAGACCTGAGGACACAATACCGAGAGTTACATTCGAAACACCGAATCACCAGACCTGAAGCACCATACCGAAAGTTACCCTCGAAACACCGAATCGCCAGACCTGAGGACACAATACCGAGAGTTACACTCGAAACACCGGATCGCCAGACCTGAGGACACAATACCGAGGGTTACACTCGAAACACCGAATCACCAGACCTGAGGACACAATACCGAGGGTTACACTCGAGACACCGGATCGCCAGACCTGAGGACACAGTACCGAGAGTTACACTCGAAACACCGGATCGCCAGACCTGAGGACACAGGGAAGCGTTAGCGCCGCTGTTTTCTGAACATGGAGAGCGCCGGCAACGCCAGGTGTGAGGATTACCAGGTGGGTTAGCGATGGATGTGAGAACCTGTACATCATCAGGAAGAACTGACATCGCCAGGCCTGGTCACCGCAAGGCCTGTTGACAGTTCATAGCAAAACCCAGGGACACTTGCACATCCTGGTGTAAAACACGGTATCCAGCCGTTTGCATTTTGTTCGGCTTTTTAGTTATAAGCTATGGAAACTCGATCGACGGTGATCCTTTGGCTCTAAAAGTTGCAAAAGGAGTGTAAAAGCGGCAGTTGCGACCAACAGAACCGTTAGCAGTAATATTAGGCAGCACTCCCCGAGGTGCGTAACCGAAATTTGGCAAATGTCTTCCGCTCCCCCCCCCCCCCGCAAATACTTACCTGACACAACCAGTGATACATTTCTCATCGGTATCCATGGGCTTACCCGCTCCGTTAAGTCTCCTCATGTGCAGCGAATGTGACAAATTCAACCAGGCCAAGCCAGACTAGACCAAACCAGACCAGACCAGACCAGACCTGATCAGATCTGACCAGACCTGACCAGGAGCAGACCAGGGGCAATACGTCGAAGGCAACTGATGCAAACGGCCGCAATTAAAACGTCATTTTGTACGATCCCATTTTTAGCCAGCCTGTCTTTAGGGCAGATTTCACTGAATGTGTTGAATGGATGTCTTTGGAATTTGACATCCTGGTAATCATAGCATTTCCAGATCTCATTACCACGCTGGATTATTTGCAGCTTGACATAGTTTTTCGCGAAATATTTTTGAGCGCTGCTTGTTTCCGTAGCATACAAGCACCTCTCTTCGGTCCAGTTTACGTTGCCGGAAGAGAAATGGCTGCAAAAATTAGCCACGTGAAAAAATATTTAAATCATGATTCAATAAATGAATGAAAAAGCAGCCGTGCCATGATTGAACCATTGAACCAGTGGATCACACGAACAATAACGGCTATGCGGTCTCTGGAAGACGACCGCTCACGTCTCTCTGCCGCCAATCAGAGATAGACCGGTGATGTGACATCTGACCCCCTCGCTCACGCCTGTCTGCCGTAGATCAGAGGTGGAACGGTGATATGATGTCACAGTTAAACCGGTAATATGACGTCGGAGGTAGACCGGTGATCTGATATCAGAGGTAGAACCGGTGGTCTGATATCAGACATAGACCGGTACTTTGACATCACGGGTAGAGGAAGAATCTGACATCAGAGGTAGACCGATGATCTGATATCAGAGTTAGACCGGTTATCTGACATAGGTAGACCGGTGATCTGACATCAGAAATAGACCAGGATCTGACTTTAGAGGTAGACCGTTGATCCGACATCAGATGCAGACCGGGGATTTGACATCAGAGGTAGACTGGTGATCTGACGTCCGAGGTAGACAAAATATTGGAGGTAGACCGGTAATTGAACATCAGAGGTAGAACGGTGATCCGTCATCAGAGACAGACCGGACATTTGAGATCTGAACCCCTCGGATTCCTTCACCTCCGAGTCAACAGCAAAGTTCGACTTAAGACGAAGGCGAGGTTCTCTCCGATCGGACCACTCCACATTCGCCTCTGCCCCGCCGGACGCGTGCCATTGCGCGCGCGGGTGGTCCCGCGCAGACTTCGCCAGCTGGCCAATCAGCTGTGGTGTGAAGCTAGTGATAGCTCGGGAAACTGTAGGATTTGGTGATGGTCTGCCTAGTATTAATCACAGAAGGGATTGGTGAGAGGATCTAGCCAGACCCCGACATGGAGCGGAAAAGGTCTGACTGCACGAGGATCGTGCAGGGCCTGTCAAGTGGGCTTGGGTAGGCGCCGCTGATCAAAAGGTCCGACTGCACGAGGAATGTGCAGAGTCGGTCGAGTAGACTAGGGACGGCACCGCTGATCAAAAGGGAAGCATCGGCAGGGGATCGTGCGCTGCTGCTTCACGTAGAAGCGAGCGTGCTGGGATCGAGGACAAGCTCATGTGACACGGGCATGTGCCAAGGCCAGAGGAATACGGCACGAGGGACGGGACGGTAAGCCGCGGCGCCGAGGGCGACCACTCGCGCCCGCCTTCCCCCGCAAGTCCAGGTGGACTCGTCCGGAATCGATCACGGCATGGCAGCACACATGGTCACGCCAGGGAGGAGGGGAGACCTAACGATTCCCCTGCGGGCGACCCGCCAGCGCCGGCGGCCTCGGTCGGAGAGAGACAAGGCTTGAAGACCTAACGATTCCCCTGCGGACGACCCGCCAGTGCCGGTGACCTCGCTCGTGGAGAGACAAGGCTTGGAGACCTAATGATTCGGCTGCGGGCGATCCGCCAGCGCCGGCGACCTCGGTCAGAAAGTGACAGGGCTCAGTAGCTCTGCTGTGCTCAGTAGCTCTGCTGTACTCAGTAACTCTGCTGTGCGGACTCGGCGGCCAGCAGTGCTTGGGCGGCGGCGCTCCCATGGAATCGGCTGCCATTGAACCACCCGTCCGCACTATTGAATCGGTTGCCATTGAACCACCCGTCCGCACCATTGAATCGGCTGCCACTGAATCACCCGTCCGCACCACTGAATCGGTTGCCATTGAACCATCCGTCCGCACCATTGAATCGGTTGCCATTGAACTACCCGTCCGCACCATTGAATCGGTTGCCATTGAACCACCCGTCCGCACCATTGAATCGGCTGCCATTGAATCAGCCGTCCGCACCATTGAATCGGCTGCCATTGAATCAGCCGTCCGCACCATTGAATCGGTTGCCATTGAACCAGCCGTCCGCACCATTGAACCGGCCGCTTTGCAGAACGGGCTGCCCGGACCGCCATGCTGTCCAGGTAAGCCTTACATGGGTATCAGTACGTATGTAAGTAAATGGCAAGTAAGTAAAAGGTATAAACACTTCCGTGATCGAAATTGCGTGCGTCGCCTGCTTACGCCACAGAACTCTGCAGAAAATATTTCGGCATGACAGCAGAAACTGCAGACGACGATGGTGGGTTAGACAGTTGTGTGTATCTGTGAGAAGGCTGTTCACATCAGCACGCAGAAAAGCCAAACGCCACGTCGATGGAAAGGCGCCGCTGGCCTGTTAACCTTCGCGTGCGCTGTCGGCCCGCGCGGTCCTGACCTCGCAGCTCATGGATTCCACTGATTGATTACTAGCATCTTCAGCTGGTCAGGCTTCATCGAACCTCCAGCTCTACGCGTGCGTCGCCCTGGCGGCAGGCAGTGAAGGCAAGGCCAATGGGGGGGGGGGGGGGGGTATGCGGACACTGTGGCTCCCGAAAACACATCAAATAACATTTTCTTCATGCCTTTTCTCTGGATAAGTCGCATTAACATTTAGATGAACTTTTGATTTCTGGGATCGGTGCGACGCCAAGCGGCGCTTGTTGCTTGAGCCCTGACCCCACCAACGGGTCGTGAAATTAAGGTGTCAACGGCAGAATCTTGGGGCGTAAGGTTTACGTACCGCCATGCTCGGCACGGCTCGTGTTGCCCTCTAACGTTAGCTGACCTTTAGTGTGACCTCTGTCACCGGCCACAGCCCATCCCCCTCAGGGCCACACAAGCGTCCGAAGCGACTCGAACTCCCCTTGCCACGAGTGGGTGAATTGAAAGCCAAAGTCAGCTCTAAACATCTCTCTAAGCTGACAAATTGAAACGAAAAAATTGGGAAATAGATTTTTACGAGTTTTTACAGAGATATCTGGAACCTCTGGGCCGGTCGTGAAGCCCTCGCTGGTCCGAAATGGGACCCCTGCGTAGGTCGGGTATGGAACACCAGATAAGAAAAGCAGACTCGACACCCTCAGCAAAATCGGGGTACTTCCTCGAGTTGTGAGACCTTACCGCGAAGCCTTACGAGCCCCCCCCCCCCCCCCCCCCCTCCATCCTGGCGAAGTATTGGTTACGTGCATGCCAGACAACGCCTGGCATGGGCTAAAAACGCAACTCAAATCAGCGCGCTCGTCGAAGAATCCTTTAGTGCTAAGGGTGTTGTTTGCATAAAAACCATATTTAGCGTTCGCTGCAGCTGCATAGCGATTAATGCGGTATCGATTTCCGTTATGACGTAGTGTGGGATCTATAGACAGACCTCCGCTTATGACTGCGCAATCGTAGGGAACGATGTGACGCCAAATCGAGCTATAGGAGCGTATGGGCTAGTCAACTAACCACTCAAGCTGTTTGCGAAAGCGAACGAGCTAATTGGGCAGCCTGAGTGACACTGCGAGCTGCTCCAACTTTAAGGCGCGCACGGGTCCCGTCTGGAAACTAAC